GGAACAAAACTTATCATCATCATAATCATCATCAGCCTATTAATGTCCCCACTGCTGGGGCACAGGCCTCCCCTATGGATGGAATAGGGACAAAACTTGGTTATACTTAATTCAGCACAAGTCCCGCATTTGTATTTTTGAAGAAGTTTTCCAATCCTAGGTGCACCTTGACTTCCTGACGGGCTTTTGTAAGCATATTCTGGGCACTGCTGAGCAGAATGCTGCTATAAGGTGCTGTCCGACGATCTGTGTTGTCGCGGACGAGGTGGCACCGCGCAGGGTTGCTAAATGTATGAGAACTCTAACGTTCAAGATTCAGCAGTATCATACCATGATAGTACCGAGTATTGTTTACCGAGGGTAGAAAGTGTCCGATTACCAGCGAGAGTGTAGTTTGAGGGCCTTAATACACCAGAGTTGGGAATAGCACTTTCTTTCGAGGGATTTATAGTGCATTAGAGGAAACGCAAAACCTTTCTTTCTGCGTTAAAACGCGTACGCGTACTTACTTCTATATATATAAAACTCAAAGATGACTGACTGACATAGTGATCTATCAACGCACAGCCCAAACCACTGGACGATCGGGCTGAAATTTGGTATGCAGATAGATGTTATGACGTAGACATCCGCTAAGAAAGGATTTTGATCAATTCTACCCCCAAGGGGATAAATAGGGAATGAAAGTTTGTATGAAATTTTGTCAATTTTAAACCGATTGGGCTGAGACTTTGCATGCAGATAATTTCATTGTGTATAATACAAACCTGAGAACAAAAACTGTAGTCTACACTTCAGCTCTACACCGAAGCGAAGCAAGGGCGGGCCGCTAGTCAGTAATATACGCTGGCACGAGTAGATAGGAAAACAAATTAAAAACTAATCAGAGCGCTTTTTATCTTTGTGTTCTTTTTTCAAAATTAATTTTGAAAGCAAACAGTATAGATATGTTAGGTATTTAAATAAATTGCAAAGTCGGAATAATCATACTGAGCGCTTTTCGGATCATAAATAAAAAAAAAGAAATAAAAAATACAGCACGTTAACATTGAATTGCCGCGTATTCAATAAGGCAACATTTGTTGATAAACTGTTCATGATGTTCATCACCGTTTATCGTTAGCATTGTTTTTGAAACTTTGCCGTCCACACTAGTCAGTTGCCGCCAGGATTTTGCTCGAGGAGGTAGTGTTGCAATGATGCTCTGTGGGACTTACGTAGTAATTCATGAGAGTAATACAGAAAAAAGGGAAAAGTTGGTGGTTTTATATAGAAGTTATGTATTTGATGACCTTCGTGGATTTGATTGGTCTTTTCATAACTTCACTAGAATATCAAAAACTGATTATATCAAAGACTGAGGCTATCAATAACAAGACAAGAAACGAAATTTCGGAATCCTACTCAGTTCCCTATCACGACCCACACGAGTGTTTGCTTCGCCCACGTATCTTCGTCGCGTCTTAAACCATTACAGACGCTGCAAAATTGTGTGTTGCGCGGTGCCACGGGTTGCCCGTGGTACGTGCGCAGCATCGATTTGCATCGAGATCTCAAGTTAGACTCCATTGCGAAGTATATGAAGGTACGGTAACGATAAAGCCGCGATTCATCCAAATCACTACACAGCTAGAAAGCTTGCACACTAGCTTAGCATTAGACAGACACCGCTAGGTACTTTATTATAAAGTATTGGACGTTATTTCAGGTATTTGTACTCTATACTTTATGCCAATAATAAAGGACGCGAAAATACTTTATTTAATGTGCTTTGTTTCTCGGGGATTAATTTTACATAAAATATATAAAAAGAAGTTGATGGGAAGAATTTTAGCGTAAAACGGACAGACAGTATGAATATGTCGCCCTTAGCTAATTCCTGCAACATATTCGTGGTTGTATGGCTTTGTTATATGACCTTTCCCATTGCGGAAAAGAACTACAGATTTTTAGTAGCCACAAATTATTTAAATTAAAAGTTGCTAGTAGTTACGAAAAATATATTTTTAAGCTTACTAATAAAGAGGAATAACAAGTACTTTATTTTACACACAATATACTTTCTTCTAGCTTTAATATCCAATGTACTATATTTGGACAAAAAAAGGTGGCCACCCTAGACACCGCACCCGTAGGATAAGAGTGCGAAGACCCGGTCTATACACGACTCGCTATACCAGGTACGTACCTGGGCGTTTTTCCCCGCCCCCCACGACAACGGCTAACTAGAGCCGTCTATTTAACATTTGCGCAGTTTTTTATATAGACAATAAATTAGTATTCTCAAATGCTAGCCATTTTATTTATTCTGTGGCGATACGCTACCACGACGAACGTTCATATAATCTTAATAATATAATTATCAGACTTCAAAATCTATTTTTACTGTTCTTAAATTTCTAATACCTAAATGTGATGGTAAAGCAAATAATCCCGTTTTACCCGTCCACTTAATAATGATGTTTAGCGCAAATGGATTCCAAATAGTTGGGAAGAGTGACGTGGTAAAGATAAAAACATGGTTGAATACCACCATTACCCACTTTATCCCCATACCTTATATGGAGGTTTAGCAACATGACTCATTGAAAGTGCATTAACATTACAGGATTATTTGTTAAGAAAGTCTTCTGATGAGGTGGAAGACACTTCTAGAGCCATAAATCAAAGTGGAAACGTTTCTTTGAGTTTGGGCATTTTTCCCCGCCCTCCACAACAACGGCTAACTAAAGCCGAGGTCCGAGTCTCAGAGACGGCCTCTAGTTGAGCCGACCCCTTCAGGTTCGAGTGGTCTAGAGGCTCCAGACGGAGAGGAGTCTCCCCCCGTGGAGAGATGCCATCTGCCTGGAATACCTCTAGAGGCACTCGCCAATTCTCGGCTTGAGGTCCCCTTAGGATCTCGCCGTCCCCAAACCCGGTGACGCTGTAAAGGGCATATGCGACAAACAGCATACACACTCAAAAAAAATATTAAAAGTGTTTCCAAGGAGGTTCGACCGAAATAAAAAAATCCTAAAGAATACGCACGGCGGCGCCATGTATGGGAGCATGCGGTAAAATGTTATACCGCACGCGCTGTTGAAATTTCGAACAATGTATAAAAAATTTAACAAGTGCTGCGAGGTGTTGAAAATATTTTTTATGTTTTACAGCTTTTCTCACGCTTTCTTGCAATTTGTGGGAATGACTTGTGTGAGAAAAGGGACATGTGTTATAGGAAGTCGGGGAACACACGCTAGGTATTTGATTTAAGAATAATATATAAAAATTGTTCATCTATTTCTTTTTTAACTAAGGTGACATGCCAAATGTTACACATGCGACTACTGTTACTGCTCGACGTTTTTTTTTCATTTAACATTTGCGCAGTTTTGCATAAGACAATAAATTAGTATTCCCAAATGCTAGCTATTTTATTTATTCTGTAGCGATACGCTACCAGGACGAACGTGATACAACACATTTATATAATTTTAATAATATAATTATCAGACTTCGAACAGTGGGCCATTTTACCCGTCCACTTAATAATGATGTTTAGCGCAAATGGAGTCCCAATGGTTGGGAAGAGTGGACGTGGCAAAGATAAAAACATGGTGTAAAACCACGTTATATTATCTTATCCCCAGACCTAATGGAGCTTTAGCAACCTGGCTCATTGAAAGTACATTAACATTACAGACAGGATAATTTGTCTTTTTATTTATTAAGAAACAATCAGTCTCACATAGTTACAAATAATGTAAAATAAAAAAGTTTAGTACTAGACTTACAGTTTCCTCAATGAATTCTCTTAAAAGCTAAAAAGCAAAAATGATTTTGATTTAATATTATACAAACAATGTACTTTGCCAGTAATAAATATCTAACAACATTAATACAAGTTATAAAATCATTTTACAAGAATAGCCTAATCAGATTACAAAGTACACTGCATAGACAATTTTTTAAATGTATCTAATTTATGACTAAATAAGTCCAAATTCATAAATTTATCATAATACAACCTGCATGCTCTTTTTATGAAACCATTACTTGCATAATATATGCTTTTTCGTCCTCTGATGAGGTGATCTTTCTCACTTCTATAGGCATAAATCAAACGATTCTTACCCCCTTACTAATAAATAAACGAGGAATAAGCTTAGATTTTATTTACGCCTTGTTTTGTTCATATCACTCAAGTGCCATTTGTCATTCAATGAACAGAGACAAAACATAGAGTAACTAATCCAAGCTTAGTCTTCGTTTTATAAATAAGGGGGTTAGAGTTTACGAAAGTTATGAATAGTTAAGAGCCCTTTTACAAAATTGCGATGCTGCCGTACTAATCGGCGTGTAGGTGAATTTGCACTAGTATAAATGTTTCGAGTCCTATAAAATAATTATTAATGAACTAATTATTAAAATATATGCATATTTCAGTAGTTCAATGATGGTAGATTAGTTTTATGACAGTTTTTGATAGTAATTCTTTTTTAATTCAATAGCGAAATACAAGGTAAAACTGCATTATTTTTTGGCAAAACTCACGGAGGTTAGATGTTTTTTTTGATAATTGATGAGACGGAAAAACAAAATTCTAATACATTATGTTAAAACAAAAACTTATTTCTGATGTCGTAGTAATTAATTTGATCTAATTTATTGAACATTATTTACAGATTCAGGCGTTTGAAGTTGTGCATATTATCGTTTTTTCCGTAAACTAGCTGCGGTAGAACAATCAGTACAAAAAAGGGAAAATAGTATTTGCAAATATTCTACATTAATTTACAAAAGTAAGAATAAATCTACTGTTTACTTCTATTGGATATAGTCAAAATCTTTTGTAAGGGGGTAAACCAGACGCTCAAAAATTACGATTTTTTGCAAAAAATGTGAAAAGGCTCTTAATACAAATTAATTTAAATACTAAAATTACATCGCTCGCAAAGCACATTCGAATGTTTCTTTCGTTCAGAGGTCAAATGTCGCAGTCTATGTAATAATGATTTAAGGTGAAGTGGTACTGGTAGTGAAGTTCGGTGAGCGGTAACGTAACGCACAAACATAAGCCGGCGCGATTAGTCTTCTCTTGCGTTACACGGAACGCAGATCTGTCATTGTAACTCATTACAATAAACGCGGGAAAAATATTTAACTGCGCGCGCCAATTTCTATTGAGTTCCAATTTTCAAAAAAATACTTGTTCTTACTTTAAAAAGTCTTCTAATTTTTTATTTCAATAAGTATATTTTTAGCTTTTTAAGTTTTCAAGTTACTAGTGATTGAAACAACGTGAAAATGCATTATAGATCGGGATTACTACTGGTATGTCTAATTTTTGTTTATTTTTTTTACAATTTTTAATTCGTATTAATTCTTATGATTGACAAGTTATCATATATTAACATGATTAAAAAGCGTTTATCACCTAAAAGTGCAAAGTCATTAAGCTTTCAGATATTAATAGGTACTAATAAGAATAGGTCGCTCTCTCTTAATTAAGTTAGATATTATTATTACTATTGAAAATTCAAAAAAAATGGTAATATTAAAAGGTTACTTAACATTATTTCAACAAAACTGGTGTCCGGACAGTTGTTGGTAGTTTGCGATTTGTTTTATGTACTTATAATAGAGTTAGGCACCATTCTGTATATGCCCAAGATATGCTGCATGCTTTTTGTATGAGCGATTGCCCTAGCAATGTGTAAATATTTTTCTTAGTAATATTTAATGCTAAATGGCTGAATATTTATAATTTCTATGGAAAACGGCTCAGGAACTTTTGCTAAAGTCACAATCTTGAAAATTATGAAAATTCCTATTACGTCATTAAATTGTTACCATTGATAAAATATGGTGCCAATTATTTACAGAGCCATCATTTCGCACTTTCTCAGAATCTTTCCTGCCAATTTTCTGATTAACACTTCACAAAAAGTATTTTTAAAACAAAAATATATACTTATAATAATTTGTTGTTGTCGGTCTAACAGGAAATCTGTGAAGTTTTATTTCGTTCATTTGCAAAAATCAAAAGATTAATTATTATCATACAGACTTGTCTACAGCCTGATCAGAAAAAGATACTATTATTTTAGGCCTTCAGTGATTTTTTATAATAAAAATTAGGGCCAAATATGCCATAGATTTTTGGAGTTTTTATTGTTCATTTATTTTTGTAAAATGGAACGTTTTCCTTTTAAAACAGACATGAAGTAAATTTTTATACTTAATTAATTTGATTATTTCACTAAAGTTGTATGAGAATAATAAACACGTTAAAATCAATAAAATAATATTATAATGTGCACGTAATATTAAAATGCACGTGTTGGCCAGGAACTTATAACGCATCCTGCGGGCTCCCGTAGCTACTGGCGTTTGGCCAAGGCCGTGCAAAAAAACTTCTGCCAGCCCTCGCTGCCACCTCTCAGATGCCCAGACGGAACACTAGCTCATAAGCCGCAGGAGAAAGCCGATTTACTGGCAAAACTCTTTGCGGCTAACTCCCGAATCGATGATTGCAATGCACTGCCACCATCATTACCTCACTGTGGCACAACGATGCCTGATATTAAAATCAGGCAGTGTGAAGTTCGTGCCGAATTGCAATCACTCGACGTCCGGAAAGCTAGTGGACCTGATGGCATCCCAGCAGTTGTGCTTAAAAAATGTGTAATGTGTGTGTGTGTGTGTGTGTGTGGCAGTAACCAAGGAGAAACGGGAAAATCTTGTCATTGAACTTTGGACCACATTTCCGAATGGGGTACCAGGAACTTAGTTGAGTTCAATGCCAAGAAAATTCAGGCTTGCGCTTTCACGGCAAAAACATCGCCATTCCTTCCCCTTCCATCTCTTCAGGGCACAACACTACCGCTGCAGAGCAACATTTCCATGCTCGGTATGGAAGTTCGCTCAGACCTGAATCCACAGGACTACATCGAAACCGTGATCAAAACAGCTTCACGCAAACTCGGAGTCCTGAACAAGGTGCGGCGTTTTTTCACGCCCGATCAACTGTGCTTGTTGTACAAAACGCAAGTGCGGTCCTGCGTGGAATATTGCTCGCACCTCTGGGATGGCTCCGCCAAGTACTTGCTCGATGCTTTGGATAGGCTACAGCGGCGCGCGATCCGCATCATAGGCGATGAGGAGGTGACTAAACACCTCGAGCCTCTTCAATTACGCCGTGACGTGGCGTCACTAAGCGCGTTCTATCGTTTGTACCACGGCGAGTGTTCTGAGGAGTTATTCTCTCTTATTCCACCTTCCCCTTTCCTTCAGAGGACCACGCGCGCTGGCCTACGTTGTCACCGTTTTACTGTGGCCACAATTCCAACGCGTACAAAGAAATTTGGTGACTCATTTCTTTGTCGCACTATCCGTAAATGGAATGCTCTGCCCGACGTGTTCCCTCCCTCTTACAACCTGGGATCCTTTAAAAGAGGCGTGAAGAAGCAACATGCAGGCCGGCAGGGTGAGGATGGCTGGTGTGGCAGGTAGAACTGCTGTATCAGTTATCTTCGCGTCTGGACTTCACCTTCACTGGAGTCATTTGTCGGACCTATCTATAAAAAAAAAATGTTTTGGGCTAGTGCGAAATAATTATACACGTTAAGGGCAGTTTCTGAGTCATGTCCTTTATTTAAAGAAACATAGATACTCCAAAAAAGACGCATTTTTTTCGTTGTGAGAACTAGCCAAGTATAGTCACAACACTATATTATAATACAATCAACAAACACAATAAAAAAGTCTACACAAAACTTTGTTTCACTACACATATTTGTTTGCATCAACAAAGTTTTTGCTTTCCGAGCCAAATGGAAAACATGTACACAAATCACCTCCGCGATGAAACTTTTGTCAAAGACATTTGTTGCACCTGGGTCGTACGTTTGGAACGCAGCTCTGTGCAGACCCCTCTTTTCCAGTGGGCACTTTGGGCAAGTGCCCAGGGCCCCGAGACCGATAGGGGGCCCCCGCAGATCAAATACAAAGTCCCTAGTTCCCGTTAAATCACCAAACGGGGGTCATAGGGGCCCCATTATCCCAATATGCCCAGGGCCTCCAATAGCTCAAAGACGGCACTGGCTCTGTGTATTTTGTGTACAGGAACGGCTAATTAAATCCAACCTTCTCAGGTTCGAGTGATCTAGAGGTTCCAGACGGAGAGGGGACTCCCCCCGTGGGGAGATGCCATCCGCCTGGATTCTCTCGCCAATTCTCGGCTTGAGGTCCCTTTAGGATCTCGCTGTCCCCAAACCCGGTGACGCTGTAAAGGTCATCTGCAACCAACAGCATACACACTCAAATAATATCGGCACTCCCGCGGTTGCCCGTGCTTTTTCAATGTATAATTATATAGATTGAAAAAGCGCAGATACTCAGATCTACAGTTCCTTTAAGCTGTGAAATCCAACCTCTGTCTTCCTTCGTCAACTTAGAAGTTAAAGTAAAAAAGATACGGCCGTTTATCTGTCAGTCTGTCACAATCAGTCCTTTATCTCAGAAGCGCGTGGAGGTATCGTGTTAAAATTTAAACCCATCTACCCTACAATCCCTTGAACTGTGAAATAAAAAATACACTTCTAAGATAACGTAAAAAATCCCCGTATAATGTTTCGTATTGCGTACTAACAAAAGTCCGGAACCCTCGGTGGGTGAGTATGAATCTTACTTGTCCGGTTTTTTAAGTAACTTCTTGATTATGGTTTTATTTTTTAAGCATTTTAATGGAGCTGAAACTAGCGGCGATAGGTATCAGTCGAACGCAATTTCTGTACAGGTTGATACTATGAGTTTTTTTTTTTGATAAATCGATGTATAATAATGATTCAGGAGAAGAATCAATAAACTTCAAGCATGCCTTCTATTTTTTTATTGAATAAAGTGTTCCTGAATGCTCTCAGCAGGTAATAATAGAATAATATAGAAAAAATAGAAGGCATGCTTAAAGTTTATTGATTCTTCTCCTGAATCATTCTTATACATTACTTTTTCAAAAAAAAAAACTCATAGAATTGCGTTCGACTGATACCTATCGCCGCTAGTTTCAGCTCCATAGCATTTTACTGAAAATTGTTACTAAAAAAAAATTGCACGCCGACCGCAGACGGGACTCGAAATCGCACCCGCTACCCGGGCGGATGAACTGACCATTAAGCTACCGCGGCCCTAATTGTCCGTGTCGAATTTTCTGTAGCATTTCTTAGGCTGCAAGGCAGCGCCATCTCTTCGCATAGTAGGTAACTAACAATGTCAAATGAATACAAGTACCTTTTTGGTTGTTATTTTAACACTATGCTCATCCGGTGATAGTTCGATAGAGACCAAAGAATAGATAATTTATTTTTATGATGGAAATCTTATAGTAGGGGAGGCCACGATGCTAAATGGGGATTTACTCGAGCGTCGTGGAGACCTATTGAATTTTGAAGATCAGATGGTAGAAAGAAAAAAAGGTTAAATGATGCATACCCTTTCACTGGTGGAACAAGCGTCTAGAAGCTTTTAAAAATGTAAAAATAAATAGTCACATGGAAATACTCGAGCGCGGCAGATATTGATATTGTATATGCCCCTTGTGTCTCTGATGACGGAAGAATGTTAATCTGCCGGTTTGCATGGTGGGACTAGCCGTACGGATGGATTGAAAATGGGGGAAAAAAAAAATTACTCGAGCGCGTCAGATATTCAGAGGGGATGTTAAGTGAGCCTAAACGAAGCTCAGATCCAAAAGTCTGACGATTCGGACGCGACGCAGGCTCGTGGCGGCTTTTTGAAAATGTAATAAAAATCGCCATCTGGAGATTATTAGAGCGCGTCAGATTTTCATACAGGCGGTTCAGCTTGATGCCCTGGTCATGCTGATTCATAATCTGACGAATATTCGGAGGGATTTTCTTATTCTGACGATAATTGAATGTGATAAATAAAATTCATAAAGAATATCATGCAAATAAAAATAAGCTGAAAATCTAATAAGGGTTAAATTAGGCCAAGATACACCCTTGTAAAAAAATATGTTTCATCCGGAAGTTCAAGTTTATCATACGTTGTACTCGATCTTCTGAGAGTAGGTTTACTCCGACGATACTCCAAAACCGTCTTGCATTTCCTTATTGTTTCCGATGTAAATTTTACAATCTTTTGACTCATCTTCGTGATAGTAAATATCTAATTCACAAAAATTCAAATAAAATAAACAATCCAGAGCGTTGTACATATAATTTCCACGAGGTTCACGAGCGCTGTGATCAGCTGTGAAAGCGTAATGGTAGACAGAAAGTGATGTGGGGACGGTGCGAGAGAGTGGAAAT